AAGTAGCTTAGGCCAGGAGCCAGGACTGGAATCAATGCCAGACCGATGACTTCTTGGTTCTGACAGCTCCATGTCTATGTCCATAAGCCCCAGGCAGGAAACTAAGGACTTTCCATCTGAGGGAGTCCTCCATACATGCGGGGCTGGGTTATAGGTTAATAGTTACTCTCTGAGGCTACAGCTGAGTCTTCAGTAGGGGAAGTACAGGGTTCTGTGGGCTGGGGGAATCTGCACCTATGGCAGTCGTCTAAACATTTTCTAGGACTGAGTGGCCAGGTGGTACGAGAGGAAACTGGAGGGTGAAGTCTTCACGTGTGTGGAAACCTTTGAGCCCCCAAAGTCACTTTGAGAGCCTACTGAGTTCAGGTTTTTTTGGCTTTAACAAGTAGAAGTTTTCTCCAAGTTTGGGAGGCTAGAAGTCTCAATTCAGAGCACCCTCTCAGGGGAAGGTTTTCTTCTCTATTGGCCCTGGAGGAAGGTTCTTGTCCTTTCAGACTCTACTTCCTGGTTTCTTAGAGATCTCCATGTGTCTTGGCATCTATCTTGCCCCATCTCTTGTAAAAAAAAAAAATTTATTGTGATTTTGGTGAAAGTTTACACAGCAAATTCATTTTCCATACAGCAGTTCACACACATTTTGTTTCATGACATTGACTGCAATTCCCCACAATGTAACAGCTCTTCCCACTCCTTCCCTGTAGTTACCTCTTCCCTGTGTCCTCTCCTAGGCATTCCTGCCCCCTGAGCTATCTCCCTGTGCAAACTCTGCCCTTCTGTTCTCCAACAATTGATTACTCTGAGAAGCGTATCTACCTAATGTGAATGTTCACCCTATATGACTGTCTGTTGTTTGGCTGGAAGCCACAGGAGGGTAGCTAGGGGCCATAGTCTCAGGGGTCTCACCAGGCTCTATCAGACCAGCAAACCTGATCTTTTTATGATTTTGAGTTTCATTCCACATTGTTCTCCCACTCTATCCAGGATCTTTTGCACTGATCCCTTTCTGGGTGGTTGACAATGGTAACTGGGTACCATCTTGTTCTTCTGGCCTCATAGTCATATAGGATTGCATGGTCTACTAGTCCTTTGGACTAATTGTTTCCACGAATCTTTGGTTTTCTTCATTCTTCTTTGCTCTGGATAAGGAGAGACCCATTGTTGTACCTAGATGGCTACCTGAAAGCTTTTAAGACCCCAGTCTTAAAATAGTGGGATGTAGAACAATGCTTTTGTGTAGTATTTATGCCAATTGAGCTTTATTTGCCCTGTGACCATGGTCCCGAGCCCACAAGTCCAAATACTTGTTCCCTCAGGTAGTTGGCTGTGGCCAGGAAGTTATCATAACTTTGCCCCTTGTTGGCTCTATTATATGTTTGGACAGTCCTACAGCACATACAAATGTGTATGTAGAAATATCATCTGCCAACCTTATATATATATATATATGTTGTTGTTGTTGTTATTTGCCGTCGAGTCGCCCCCGACTCATAGCGACCCCTCCTTGGGTTTCCGAG